TTTTGTTTTTGTTTTCTGATATGGGGGATCAAACTTGGGCCCTTGCACTTGCCAGGCAGGCACGGCACCACTGAGCTACGTCCCCGGCTCTATTATGGGTTTTTAAAAGAAAATACACAAAAAACACCCCTAAAAGTTTGTTCATATAATGAATTTTACCATTTATGAATAAATGGTAGGTAATATTAGTAACTAAGACATTTGAACATTTATAATTCAAAGAGAGGAATACGAGCCCATACATCGAGTTCAGCAGTTTTCTTTCTTTTGGCCACAGGAAATTTGTAGGAACAATATGCCTTTGAATATCAAATCAATAAATTTCTACCCTATCACATTACTCCTATTCAGTGAAATAAGATATCAAGACATCACTGATCAAAAACTTCATAAAAGTTCATGTAAATGGTTATCGCTGAATTTAAAGGAACTGGAAAATCAAAATGTTTATATGATGTAGGTTAGATCCTTGTGATTAGCTAGTAGATATTGGAAACAAGAGAAAATGTAAAATAAGTAAATGGCCATTTTTTGTTGCTTTGCACTTTTTATCATCTCAGGGAAGTTTTACATTTTTCACTTTTTCTGGGCACTTGGAGTGTATCAGTTGACTAGAACACACAAAAATCACAGCTTCTACTGGGGAATACAGACACTACAAGAGGAGCATATTGCAATGAGTGAAGTGTCATGTGCAGAAAAGAACAAGAGCAAGGTAGGAAGGATGTTAATTGGAGTAGAACTGTTTAGACTAAGTATCAGCGTTAAGGAGCAGTTTGCAAGAAGATTAAACGACATGAAGATGAACATTTAGGAGAGTGTTCTAGAACCTAAGCGGTAGTATATCAGGATATTCAAGCAACAATGAGTAGTTAAGAGATGAACCCCGATTCCTAAAGGAAAGGGCAAATCCAAGGACTTTGTAGGCCCTGTAAAGAGCTCAGCGTTTACAATGAATGACATAGGGAGCCACTGGTAGGTTTGACCAGGTGGGACATGAGTGAACTTTCCCTGGAAGAGAGGCTCGTGGCTGTTTTCTTGACAATAAACTGAGTTGCTGATGGGCAGGGAGACCGTTTCGTGGGTCGCTGAATTAAGGTCAGAGCCCAAGGAAAATATAGGTGAATAGTCTGATTCTAATTTGTTTTGAAGGTACAACTAACAAGATTTCTTGACAGATTGGGGATGAAGATGAGAGACTGGGAGGAGCCGAGGAGGACTGTGAGGTTGCTGGACTCGCCATCCACAAGGACGGGAAGGCACAGGTCACCGGGGACTTGGGGCTTTTCTTCCGTTGTTTCCTCTAGTCCACACGGTAGGTTTGGTGGGCACTCTGATGGAGTAGAGTCGCGATATATACTCTCAGGTGTTCTCGATTCTAGGCTATAGATACAACATACACAGCTAAAGTAGTCACAGGTGTAGGAAACACTTTCCCACTGCAGATGCTAGCTGGGTGCTCCAGTGCCTAGGGCGGCGACTGATTCGGCAGTCTGACTCGTACGTTGTAAAGACCGCGACCCAGGGCTCAGGGCCTGTCTCCCCACGGCTCCGCCCGGCGC